AATTTATTATTTAACTGCTCGTTAAATATAACATCGTCAGCAGTCAACAGTTCTGTGACTTGCTCAGTTCGCGAGCTGAGCCTTTTAAATGTCCATATGCCATCCGGTAATTAGTTGTAGGTCTGATGGTTTCCAGCTACCACGGGAGTCTCACCCAGTATTGTCCAGAAAACAAATTTAACATCTTCTGGTATTGTTTCTTGAGTAAAGGAATCATCTGGACTTTCTTCATTTACATTATCCCTATGCTGTCCAATTACCCATAAATTATACACAGGTTTCAACTTCATCCTCTATTGAAGAATATTTTATACTGGGGTATATTTCACATGAGTTACGACACACCGAAACTGTATTTATGGCTTCCTCCATCAATCATTATCAGTAACGAGGCAGACTGCCATACATCACGTTACCTCCTGCGGTCCGTAGAAGGTGAGCTCCGCTATTCTTTGTCATACCCTTTACAAAGGTGCATAAATAGTCACTACATATCAAAAATCTCTATTGGACCACAGAATCATTATTTACACCAGAAGGTGCCAAAATTTACCTAACTTGAAAGCCTTTCAGTACGTACCAAGCCATCTTGTAGATAATTTTTCTCTGGAGCCTATCCACAATTATCACATTAATACGTTTTCTCTCATTGCCCACCTGTCAGTTACATAAAACAGTGTCGTATGACTGGGCCTCTTATTCGAGAGAAAGCCAGATACTGTGAGTATAGCAGGATCACCCATTTGCACCTCTCCCATTAAGGCAATTACGTTTTATGAAGTACTTGTGATCCCTGATCCCAGTAAATGCTGTTACAGTTTTGGATTTACGCCGTTTATCATTAATCACCACATCCAACACAGGTAAAGCTACCTCAGCTAGGCCATCATTACCGACATTAGCTGCAATCTCTACGTTGGCTACTGTTGTGGCCGGGTTATTATCACTATCAGTACTATTGTTACCATCAATAAATTATATCCGCCCTTACACATAGCTATTGGTGTCTTCCTGAAGTTACACTGAATAACAATGGTTCAAGTTAGCATGGCAATCCTTTTCATTATGATTTCCTAGACACCTGATGCATCTAGCAAGCTCTTCCAATCTTTCCACTTTAACATCCCAGTTCTTAGAGAAATGAGTACCGTTGCAGAAGATACAATCTCTCCTTGGCCTGACCTCTTATCACTGGGCAACCCTTATTGTGGTACTTACTCCTCTTGCTTTGATGTAAAGAACCACTATTACTGGCCCCTGTCACTTTATATGTGCATACGTAACCCCGTTTAGTAGGTGACTTATGATTATTGATATTGGGATAAATTTTCCTTTTGGTAGAACTTGACAGTGCACTGGGGTCTGTAGACGTGGTATTCCTAGAGGTAATGGGTTGCTGGTCTGCAGTTGGACAATTAGCTCCTGCTGGCCCCTCTTATTTCTTCTAACCCCGAAGTAACCCTTGTGATAACTGTTAGATAGCCACTCTACAGTATTGTGGGTTCAATTATTCTGAATCAGGGCATCTCACAACCACTCTGCTCCTCCAATCTTATTTAGATACTCAAGGTCTTAAGAGTGCTTTCCTAGTTTGATCCTAATTGCTGTAAGCCGTTGCCGGTTGTGATCTGGATCTTCAAACTAGCCAAAATAAGCTACTGGATCCAGCCAACTTTGCTCCAAGTTTACATACAAGTGACCTCCAACAAGTCAACTGCCTCACTAAAGGAGTCATCTACATTGTGGGAATGCTTGTATGAGAACAAGCATCATCCTCCCCTTACTTGGTGTCCCTATTAAATAGCATAAAATTTTGTACACTTGCATGGATCACTCCATCATGTACGACAGCTTTAAAGATAGACCAAAACTCCTCCCAGATTCTCCCGGATAAACACCAGTACATGCATACTTCTGGGGGGAGGAGTTTTGAACACCTTCTGATTTTCCTTACTAGGTTGACCACCAACATTGTTTACACCCCTTACCTTCTCCACACCTTAGTTTTGCAAGACACAATGTGTCCTCCACATCACAATATTTGACCAGCAGCCGCTCTTCTTTCAGGCATCATCTGCAACAATTCACCAGTAATCTCTCTCACAGTCCCCTTATACCACTATTATATGACTCATATCTATTTTTCAAAGGCATCTAGGTGGTAACTTTTAATTCATCAGGTTTACCGTTTCTTGTCCCATTTAACATCCATACACTAGTTGTATGATTTATGTAACATGACCCTTCCGAGCTTGTATGACGCTTTCTTTGCTTGGCATCCATGGACTTGCCACCGCACTAACTTCCTCAGACCCACCATGGTTAGGGCATTAATAATCACCAATAATACAACTAAAATAGACACCATGTGAGAGCAATTCTTGCACTTTACTCATGATAAATACCTAGCCATCATGTGGCTAGTAATTAATTGGGCTAATTATCATCCACCACACGACCGAATTAAATTTGTGTACCCTATATCCACTTCCTTCAATCAGTCACCTTAATTATTAAGTAATTCAATTAATTTTTTCACTGATTGCACCGGTTCAGGAAGGACCAGCGGGCAGATATGGAAAATTTTATAGGGGTCTTACCTGTATTACCTCAACATTCATGCAACGAGTAATCACATGGGAACAACAACTATAATGATTACCGTATTACCCCGTGTAGACATGTGAGAAAAAACGTAACAACCCAGTCCACCGCAGGTGGTCTATCGACACTCACAATCTTATCCATATCTATCCCGAGACCAGTAAAAAATTGGCTACGCACCGCACAAGTACGGCGCTACTAATTAATTGTGGACTGTATAGACTATATTAGTTAACTGAAATGATGAGGGGGGGGTAGGTTACACATGGATATATCCATCAGAAAAACACCTATACATAATCCCATCCACTTACAGATATTCTCTGGTGGTCACTTGATTAGCTGATCACCCAAAACCTATCCAATTACAACATACCTAACTGGCCGTATCATCTGCAATAACAAGAAGGGTTACTTAACTGTGAGGCTGATTGATGCTCCTTATTTCCCTCCATTCACCATCTCATTTTCGATGTCCTGCACACCAACACGTTCTTATTCCATCAAACTAGTATCCGTTGGTTTGTTCCCGGTTATTAGAAGTCCATGACACCATAAAAACTTCACTATCCTCGGGACGGAACAACGTGGTCAAACGTGTTCACCTCGGAGCAAGGCGACTTATTTCACATTCATGCATTCCTTAACATAGTGTATTATCATGAATACATTACAATTACATAAGACAATTAATGTCTCATAATTAATATACACATTAGAGGTCACTCCCATTAAGATCCGAGACGATGAGTGAGGATTAACTCACGGGCATCTTTCTCCTGGACGCATTCCTGGTGGCGCACCAGTCACCCCCCGTCCTACCATTATTCACTAATTTTACCACTTATTACAGTTTGTGCCGACAATCACATCCCTCACTCTTCACCAGGGACAAGTACGACACTTCCTGTTATGAATGAGGCATATATTAATCCTTAGGCGCCGTGAACGCCAATTTCCTGGGTCCCATGTTTTTCACAGTCCTTTAACCCCTATCAAAACACTCCCGCTCCTCGAGCCCAATCTCGACATCTTCCCCCGCACATCCCGCGCAGCGCAGAGGTAAGCCCTGTTGGTTCTATTCCATTTTCATACTTTTGACCCCAATCACACATTAAGCAACTATTAGGCACTATAGCTTCGGAAATTAAATAAATTTTCCACACCACCTGTTTTGCAAAGTACGGAACGCCTAGTAATAGACATTATATGTGGTATTTAGAGACACATAACAGTCTCTCCACTCGTCAATATGGCTTTCGTAAGGGACGATCTACCATAGACCCCTTACTACGCTTGGATACGTATGTAATCGTAATGCCTTGCGGAATAACCACTCAGTATGCCATTATCAAAAACTTTGAGGCCAGTCCCTGACCCAATAATGTACCTCTGTAATCTTTTGACTACCGCCCACAGGATGGGTATGGTGCATAATAAACATATTAAACTTAAATTAAACTTACATAATCCCACCACTTACCAGATATTCTTCTGGTGGTCACTTGATGTAGCTGGATCACCCATAACCTATCCAATTACAACCATAATACCTAACTGCCAGTATCAGTCTTCTATAAACTAGACGGGTTAATTAACTGTGGTGAATTGAGCTCCTTATTTCCTCCATTTCACCATACTCCATTTCGATCCTGCACACCGACACGGTTCTTATTCTTTTCCACGTGACGAGTATCCGTTGGTTTGTCCAGTTTTAAAGTTGTGACTCCATAAAAACTTCACACGACCCTAGGGACGGGAACATAACGTGGTCTAACGTATTCACTCGAGCACAGCGACATATTTCACTTCACGCATCACATAAACTTAAGTGTTCTTATCATTGATTACATTACAATTCACGAGACGATTTAATGTCTCATAAATATTATGCACATTAGAGGTCACTCCATTAAGATCTGAGATCCGAGAGTGAGGATTAACTCACGGGCATTTTTCCCCCTGGACACACTCCACGGCGGCGCACCAGTAACCCCCGTTCCTACCATTATTCACTAATTTTTAACCACTTAATACAGCAGTGCCGTCAATCACGATCCCCGTCACTCTTCACCAGGGACAGTAACGACCACTTCCAATTATGAGTGAGCCTATATTAATCCTTAGGCCGCCGTTGAAACACCAATTTCCTGTCAAGTTTTCACAGCCTCTTAACCCCATTCAAACACTCCCGCTCACGTGCCCCCATCTCGACATTCCTTCCCCGCACCATCGGCGCATGTGCAGAGGTGAACCCGGTTGGTTTCTATTCATTTTCAAATACATTTTGACCCCAATCAACACATTAAACACTTATTAGGCACTAAAGCTTCGAAATTAAAATAATTTCCTAACTGCGCCGGGCGAGTCGTTTTAGACGCTTAAATGGGTCTTACCTCTAAGAGACGATTCCACCCGCTCTAAGATTGCAGGCTGTATTTTTCCTAGTTGGGTCTTACTACAATTTCTTCTTGCATCACTCGGGTCATGTCCTATCAAATAATCACTCGTGTCACTTTCCCTTAGATTTCCATCTGCAAAGGATAGAACACCATTAAAAATTCTAATGGAATTAATTTATTAATGTACGCAAACTTTCTGACCACGACACAACACTTTTGACGTTTCTGGACAACACCGTGAGCATCTGAGTATAATGAAACTACCTTGCCCAGAGCCACAATATTCGTTGTTGTTCGTATCAATTAACAATTCCACCTGGTGAATGTTCTGACGGTTTTACTGCTCTGGCGCAACCAGTAAAGTTGTTCACAAGTGTATGAAGATATTCTTACGCCACACCAATCTCGTACAATATAATTACCTTATTTAACATCTTGAACTTATCACTCAACACGGTCACGTTATTGTAATCCTCATCACTTCCCTCGGGATTATCTCTATAGATAGGTGCAGCTTCTAACCTTCGTCCACATATTAGGTGAGAGGGAGTCAGGATCTCCGCGTCAGGAGTGTTGCTCATGTATGACAGATTGCGATCGTTTACCCGATTCTCTGCCTCCACCAACAGATTAGATTAGATTAGATTTTGCCACCGAAGTGGCTAGTTTATTGTGCACCCCATATCCATCCTGTGGACGGTAGCGCGAGAGCATATGGATACACAAAAGGCCTAGGAACTAGGCACCAAAGGGTTAACAGGAATACATATGGATTTATATCTACATATCTATAGTTCACTTATCTGTTACAAACAAATTTAGGAACATTGCTTAGTATATCTGGTATCTTATTTTCATTAATAAGATATCTTGACATGTCACATAGGTTATTATAGCTGTCTGTCTCTGTTATTTCCTAAATGAGTGGACAATTAGAGCACATAGTGTTCAAGAGAGTGACCATAAGCCTAATCATAAATTTACATTTAGTTTGATCATCATCTATGAGTCTCCCCCAAACTGCCAGAAGTACTTGTAATCAAGCCTAAGCCTGGGCCACTACAACATCATCAGTCAGTTCACATTGCAGGTTTGCTCCATAAACATACTAATCTACGTTCATGTTACATAGTGGGTAATAAAATCTACTCAGGCTACTAACTGCATCTATAACATCAATTATCATTATTTACTTCTCTCCTAATATTATTCCTAATGCAGACACAGTTATACCAAAGTTATATCAACATTCTCTTCTGGGTACTCTTCTTGGCTAACATATCAACTTTATCAAGAAGGAGTAATCAATGTGTGATGAGGGATCCATAGCAATTGTACATTAATTCCTTTGTTCCCTAATTTTTGAATATCTATACCTGGCTTCCCCAATGAGGCATGTGGTTGGAGTCATTTATATGAGTCAAGAGCCTTCAATGATACATAGAATCAGTAATGATGACAGAGTCCAAGCTCAGTGTCATAGGTAGCTTTAGCGCCATTAGATTGCAATCAATTCAGATTTTTGCATGAAGACCCCAGTTTTGTTAATCTTATGCTAACCAACAAATTTATTATCGTTCTTACAAGTGAGTGGCAACAAGAGCAGATGCAGCCCTGCCAGACGACTCCTGTTTAATCCATCAGTTTATATAACTTGTGATAACTTATTACCTACCAGCTAGGTGAGTAATTATTTTCTTGAGCAGTATGCTCTAACAAGATGATTTTAAGAAGGGATTACTAGCAATGAGCTTCTTGGAGGGACTTGTAGTATGTGATATTTAATGAACACATCTTCCATGGAGGGGTGAAATGCCTCTTGTTGCCTACAGTGATACAGTTCAAGCAGGTTAGTAAAACTTAATGCAATTGCCATTTTCACAAGCCATTTTAAGATCTGTGTGTATTTACATCTAGACACTTGTACGAATCACTGGACAGTGTCTGGTTCGTTTCTCAACATTCTAAAACCGATTTCACAGTGTTAATTTCATCAACAATCCAATCACTGATACTAAAATACCACGCTCCTTCCTCATGCTTAAGAACTTTTGTATATCCCGGGACAGCCAAGAATAATCCTGAAGCTTCATTTTGCATTAACTCCAAGGGTCGGAGAGAACTTTCCTAGCTAATATCAACATGGTAGGCAGCATAATCAATTAAGGACCTAACATAGGCTATGTACATCATTCTCACGATTCCTCATATTAGCACCAAGTTGGATTGTAAGCCAGCAAACAGATTTGAGAGCATGTAGCCTAGCATTACATTTCTTGTTATAGTGGGGGTATAGTGATTTGTTTTAAAGGGTACTCTACACCAATGATAACTGTAAGTTTTAACGTAGCTAATGATTTCCACCCTGAAATTAGATGGGAGGGTGGATTTCCGTTTGCCTTGTTAATATCTTTGTTTTAGAGGAAGATATTATGAGGCTAGTCGATTACAAAATTGGGGGCTTGAACTTTCATTAAGAATGGAATTCATCATCTTATGCCCTGGTGTCTGGTCATGAAATCACAGCAAAGCTTATAGCTATAAGTTTAGGTGAGGCAGGCAAGCATTTAGGAGGCAAGCATTAAACAGAATTTAAATAGCATGGGATTAAGAACTCCTCCCTGCGTGTAACCTAAAGACATTACTTTAAAATCACTTCTGAAGCCTTGGTAAAGGTACAGGAGATCTCTATTTGACGGTATCCTATATCCATCAGAGTAAGCTACCACAATATTCATTTTGCTAGTTCCATGTAGTATAACGGTTCTGTCGCAATATCAAATGCAGATTTATAGATCAAGAAAAGTGGTAAAACTAGTAGAGGGTGTGCACGTGAGAAAGGTGTGAAATACCAGTTCTGCACACTTGTTACCTTTCATGAACCCATAGAGTAGGGGGAAAGTGATGTCTGAATTCTGTAGTAACAGTCTGTAAGCATCATTCTTTGTAACAAAAGTTTTTACAAAGACAACTAGTTAAGAGATCGCTAAATGTATCAGAGGCTGTTTGGGCTTAGGGATAGGCACAATGAGACTATTGTCCAGGAAGTAGGAAGAAAGCCCTCAATTTAACTGAGATTATACAGTGCCAACAAAGGGTATGACAGGCACGTACCTTAGAGTTCTGAGAATAATCATAGGTTTAACCATCCTCTCCAGAGTCCAGTTGATCGACCTTGGTTAATGAATTATCCAATCATACACAGTAAAGAGGCAGTCCCTTCTCATCAATTATTTTGGTCTCAAAAATTAATCAGTTTCAACTTTCTTCAAAGTACTCTCTAAATTTTTTCTAATATGAATGGAAGGCTTTCAATGCCTGGATGTTTTGGACCATCCATTTATGAGGTCATTTGCATTTTTCAAGAGAAAGGGATAGCACATTGCCAGTCCATTTTCCTGTTATTAATTTATTTAATACTTTCCAAGCCAAACTACAAGGGTGGACCTATTAATCCACTAACACACTGTACCCAATCCTGTGCCTAAGTCTTTCCTTTCTATTCCTTGCATTTGTTAGTGCAGCTTGGAACGTTCTGAGCAGGTCTTGGGGTTCTACATTCACGGTATGCTTTACCCAATCCTCCTAGCTGCAATGTGTTAGATTGCGCAGCTGTGGATCATTATAGTATTTACATTGGTTTTTTATTGTTATTTAAAGTGGAGGGTCTTTGTTCCCTATTCCTGCCCACTTGATCTGTGAGGAACACTCTCAATAGTGGTAATTAAACAACAATTAATTTTTGAGTGCCATAATGAGGCACGTAATTCTTATACATTGATCCAAGTGGTTAATAAAGTTGTCTCTGTGTCTGGTTTGAAATAAGTTTCCTCCTTCTGTAATTTAGCTTCCATGATTGAGCCTGGAGATGTGATCAAGATTGACAGTTGTTAGCTCTTGTGAAGTGATCAGATAGAAGAACATCACTATGACAAGTCATGCATCGTATAAGATGTTATAAATCCAAGACCAGATCTAGTATGGTGCCACCATATATGTTATAGGCTCAGTAGTACCTGGAGTTTACCGGGAGAGAGTTTTCCGGGGGTCAAACGCCCCCGCGCCCGGTCCTGTGGACCAGCCTCCTGTGGATCAGAGCTGATCACCAAGCTGTTTGCTGCAGGCAGCAGCAAACCAACGTACGAGCCACAGCCCGGCTGATTCAGGAACTGACCTTTAGGTGCTTGACCAGTGCCAGCTTGGCTTGTGTGCCCACATTCGAACATTATCATGCTCATTTTAGCATATCTCACTGGGTTAGTTTTAGTTCCATGGGTGTTTTGTTATAACCCACCAAAATTTCTTATGTCTGGCATTAAAATCTCCAAGAATGATTGGTAGGTTCGCTATTGATGCGAATCTGGTAAAGCATCAGGTCGAGCTGGTTTCCTGGGGCATAGAGATTAAAAAATGATTATGGAAAAATCGCCTGCATATACTTGACACCATGATACTGAATGTTAACTCGACTCTGCAAGGAAAGGAGTAATGTGCAAGTTCTTTCTGACATACATCACACAACAGTTGGTTGACCCTAGTTATAAGCTGCATATCCAGGCAAGTTTTGTGGAGGTGCTCCATCTTCAATCTACATTCCCTTCAAACAGATGACATCAATATTCATGTTGCACTAAAATGATTAAGTCAGGCAACCGCTTCCTGATGAAGCTAATGTTCCATGAAAAGAATTGTAAGTAATCCATTGTAGTGAGTTATTACAATCTCTTGCTCATATGATGGTAAAACTAATTATGCTTTGACTACCTGTGCAGATACTTAAACAAATTGCAAAGTTTGTACGTCATTATCTTCAGGACCTTATTTTAAGCATTTTTCGGCATTTTGGCAGCCAGTTAAAAGGCAAGTCTTGAGGCAAGAGTATGGCTTCTTTTCTCACAAATTGACTGGAAGCTGAACGTAAGATTGCCTGCACTTTTGACATCATCACCATGCGACAAGAGCATCTCCGATTACATATATTTATTAAACATGTCAGGATCTGTTCCAGATGCTCAATATTTTTCTGGAAATTTTGATATAATATGAGAAATGTGTCAGGCGAATCCAATGCCTCTTCCGGAGGATGTCACTTCTGGGTTAGTGCATTCTTTAACACCTATCACCTTAACAGGTACCTATGTTTACTTAGTGTTCTCTGTTTCATCATTCATTGCAGGTAGGTCTGTGCATCTGACTCATCTCCAATTTCCAGGGAGGTTACCTGTGTGGTGTCCGTCTGACTGTTGTAGTTTGTGTGTTATTGAGAAATGACAAACTCATCCCCATATTCAGGGGTAGCCATAGTATCGTAGTGGCAGACCAGTAAGTTTCCTATATGTTCTAGCAGGATGGCTAGCTCCTCCACAGCTGGGTGGTGTGTGATGGTCATTCTGGTATCACTCAGAATCCTTTGCAGTGAGGAGGGTTCTTGGCACACTTTGCCGAGGTTAAGTCTCAGATCTGCTGTGTAGACTGGATGGCCCCATCCTCAGTTTACCAATAAAAGACTGTTTATCAGGTTTTACATCGAAAGGTTGTTTGGGTTCTGCACTGCAGTCCCTTGTGGGAAACTGTAACCCCAACTTCTATACAGTTAATACACTCTAAATTTGGCTGTCAGGCCCTACTGTGCAATTCTCTAGTGGAATGTTCCCAGCACACTTACCACACCAAGAATGTAGTATTCCACAATTCTACCTGCAACATGGCCATAGTATATGCCTGGCCATTTGTAACACCTACGTTTAGGTGTAGGTACACTCGATGTATTAGGAAACGTAAACCATGCACCCAGATATTCCGGGGGAGGGTGCACAGGACCCACCCAACTGGCAATAATTTGGGATTTTCCTTAAGTCTTTTAGGCTGATGAATGCTCACTTAGAGTCAGATGGGATTGGTTCCATGCAAGAGGGTATCCAAAGATATATATAACTGACCCTTTTTTAAAGAGGTGGGTGTCTGATGGAGGTCGGAGCAGCTATACCCCATAAGGTGTACTAAGTAGATCATTGATCAGTTCCTTCATCTGTTCCACAAACACAAAGTTTTGTGTGTTCTTCCTAAATTGGATCCTGAGTAAGGATGCTTGTTACATGCTGCCATTAGCCATGCACACTTAGCAGCACGGGGTGTTGTCAGTGAGTTCAGCTTTACACATTCATCCTTGAAGAAAGAACTCCTTGCAGCCTCTGTGGCACCAAGGACGTTTATTACCACATTGTGTACGAGTCAAAGTGGTCTGACACTCGACCTCTAGCCCTTTCCCCCGGGGGGGGGGGGGGGGGGGGGGGGGGGGGGGGGGGGGTCTCACTTTTCTCTTTGTTACTTAAAGGTCTGGAAGCCTATCATCATTTCCATCACCTGCAGAAATAGGTTCCTCTATACAGTTGCCCATGTTTGCCAGTGATGATATCTGGTGTAAGACACAACAACGACAAAGAATTCCTCGCTATCTTTCCCTATAGCTTATGCAAAGCAAATATTCACTACAAAGTCCCAGAAGTCCAAAATAGATCCAACCAAGACACAAGTCTCAAGTCAATGAACACCTCCATCCATACTCAACCAGACCACCACCACTCAATACCGACACCAGACAACCCCACCAAAAACACACTCAGAGACCTCCTCGAATGTGTGGTAATAATATGGTACATATAATGATATATGGATGGTACATGCGAGGTCGTAACACCTATCACAAATAAACAAAGAGAAAAGGAAGAGCGAGAGAGAGATAGAGAATGAGAGAGAGAGAGAGAGAGAGAGAGAGAGAGAGAAGAGAGAGAGAGAGAGAGAGAGAGAGAGAGAGAGAGAGAGAGAGAGAGAGAGAAAGTAGGTAATATTGAGCATAAAATTAGAATTATGTCCTACATCACAATAAACAAGAGGTTAAATTCAATGATAACATCCACTTGTGTTAGTTCAGCTACTGCCACCTAATGTACCTCACTGAATAATAATTTACAGACAATCACAATGATGCTGAAGACTACCTCTTACCCCAACCATAGATTGTAAACAGTTAATTAACTTAAAACAAAAACAAAAACAAAAAAACTAGGTAATGTTTACAAATGACAATTGAGATAAACTCCAAACAAAACACTGCACGAATTCCTCCAAATTAATTCTCTTCCTGTGGTAGCGATCTCCCCTTACGAAGACATCTTTTCACTGTACCTATCATTCTTTCGTACAATCCTCCTGCCAAGGGGCTCTGGAGTAATAAATTTCCATACCACCCTCCGGGTCAACACAGAATGTACATCATTCACTCTTAATTTAATTCTATCAATGTTAGAGCACGCCGCTACATAATTGTGGCAATTATCTGAGATCATCATCTTGGATGACGGGATCTCCTAGCTGTAAATTCCGGAACAGCGTATGAACTTTCTGCAGACAAGTCCCTGAGCCACTTCCAGATGAAACACCTAGTAGATGAAAAGGTAAAATAGACATACATACACCTTCAAAGGAACACCATCTGAAGTACCTGTTAAAATGATTGGCCCACTATAGTCCACTCCGGTCACAATCAAATGGTTTTAACGCAACTGCACACGTTCCTTGTCAATAGTGGAGGACCTGGGTCACATGTCGGTTCCTGGCATCCACCCACGACATATTACACACAACTTGATAACCCTTTTTACACTCTGCCGTCCTGTGGAATCCAGAAGGTTTCCGAATTCAGTTTTAAGGTAATCCAGTTACCCCACATGCATCACGTTATTATGGGCATTAAAGACAATCAAGGTTGTCCAGGTGAAGAGTTTTTAGGCAGCAAGATGGGGTGTTTTAGCATATTCTCCCCCAATTCAGCATTTGTAACCTGCCTCTGCACCTAATTACATCATCCTCTAAATACAGTCCCAGCTTATTCTAATATTGAGCCTTTTCCAACAATTTTTCCTTCCATCATTAATTTTAATCTCATCCTGAGGCTTCCTTCTTGAACCCTCTTAGCCAGTATTTCAAGGATGGGAAAAATTAAATGAGATAATTTCCCAAACTTACCAATAAATTTAAACACTACCTTGTCAACGTTAACAGCTGGGTAAGGAAGAATAACCTATTCAAGATCAATGGCAAAGGATGGACTACTGACTGGCGCCTGGTGCTCACCGTAATTTCGATCAGGAGCAATATGTGCCTTTTTGCACCGCCAGTTAATTTTGTCCACCAGGCCAACTTGGCCCTTTAAAAACCAGATAAAGCACTCACAAATTTTTCATAAGTCAAGCCTCGCGAAAAGGGACAAAGAAGTCAGCCGGATCACGGCACCAGGGATGTGATTAAAGGTAACATATGCTGACCCAAACAGTTAAATTTCTCGACTGTATTTTGACGGACTTCAGAGCGACTCTGTATTTTGTACGTACACAATCTAACTGTTACCATTAATACAATCCATTGTAATGATACCTCTTATCATACCAAATTAGGTGTCCGCTGATATTTACTCTCGTAATTTATTTCTTTATATAATTTGGCTAATTTGACACCTACATAAATGGCCGTTATTCCAACCGAGGTAAGGTACGTGATTTGATTTGGAGCCACCCTAGCCTAGAACATAACAAGAGAAATGCACTATTACATTGAAGGTAAGCGACTGCTCCCATATGCCAATTTCGAAGCATCGCAAAAAATGTGGGAGTAACATTTTTCTCCATCTTGACTGGCCACATTACGTGGGAACTCCAACATTGGTATTTTTACATATTCACCTATTAGTTCTTCCCACTTTTCAACAAATTCCTCAGGTAGGGTTTCATCCCAAGTACACTTAAGCTTCCATGCTTCTTGTATCAACAGTTTTCCTCTTATTGCAAGTGGTGACACTAAGCCTAGTGGATCGAAGCATTTTGAAACTTCCGCAAGTAAGACTCTCTTGGTTAATTTATTGGGCATGCTGTAGTTATTAGACTATGTTAGGTCCTTAATTGATTATGCTGCTCCCATGTTGATATTGGCTAAAGAAAGTTCTCTCCGACCCTTGGAGTTAATGCAAAATGAAGCTCTCAGGATTATTCTTGGCTGTCCCAGATCTACAAAAGTTCTTAACATGAGGAAGGAGCTTGGTATTTCTAGTATCAGTGATAGGATTATTGAGATTAACACTGTACTCGGTATTAGAATGTTGAGAAACGTACCAGACACTGTCACAATGAATCTTACCAAGTGTCTAGAGGTAAATACAACACAGATCAAAATGGATTGTGAAAAC